ATATATAGAAACACGTGATTTGAATAATTTATATATATCTATATATATAAAAAGAATTACTATTTTTCAAAAATGACAAGTCAAATTTTGGTCAACATGGTTGAGCATTAATTGCATGCTATTAATAGCAAGTTTTATTTTATTATATTTTTTATTTACAAACAGGATTAGTTATTGTTATTACCTGTTTTTTAGGCAATCAAATACAAATAAAGAACAAATTTTTAGAAGAAATATATCGGAGATTTTATAGGCAATCAAATTAATAGCCATTTTACAGTCGCCGTTTTACCAGCTTTTGACGCGTCAATTTTATTTTCTATTTTTTAGGCAATCAAATAAATATCTCACCCGTTTTTAAAAATTGAGGATACTAACTATTATAAGATTATTATGATTAGCACGGGCTAATTTTGTTAACTAATATCTTCATTGATTCATCCCAACACGTTTGATAGGTCGGTAAAGTCCCACATGCAAATTATTATCATTATTATTTATTTTCATTATCATAAAAGGAACTTCAATTCGGCTAATATCTTCAAATATAAAAATAACTCACAACTTTATGGTATAGATAATGAAGAAAAAAATAACTCACAACTTTATGGTATAAATAATACCAAAATATGTACATTAATTCCCTTAAAAATCTGATCAACCAACACGATTTTGAAGGATTTTCAAATCCAATAAATTCTTAATTCATATGCATAAAGTCACACAGTTATGGTTATTTAATATTAAATTAATTTATATATATAATAAGAATTTGTATATATAAAATAAGAATAACTTAAATTAAGTATTTTCTGCCATTATGCAACAATTACATCTTAATTATAGTAATTTTACACAATTCCTTAAAACAAATCTTGAAACAATAATTGCATTCAGTCATAACTTCCCTAAACAACTAGATTTACTGTTTTAAAAAGATACTCCATAATGTTTGATTATACACTGAATCCAGATGTTTGGAATCAATTTTATTTAAAAGCAGTATTATTATGGAATCAAATATCATGGAGTATCTTTTTGAAAGCAGTACACTTATAGAATCAAATAATTTAACACGATTTACTTTTTTTTAATTCAATCTATATCTCATACATATCAATTCATTTCCATATAATATAAATTTGCCGTAAAAATGAGAGTAGGACTATAGTAATCATGGTATCATTATAACAATATAAATACTAAATAAAATTTAGTTATTTGGACCGTACATTCCTTATATACATATAAATAAATCGCATATTTAATTTTTTTTTCTTTCACATATAGTTATACAATATATGTAGTTTAACTAATAGTAAAAATTATTGTAAAGATTTTCATTTCAATCATGATAATATGTTTTATAAAATCACTATTCCACTACTCATGTAAACATATTTTTGTTTATATTATCACGATTATTTTTTCATCATTTTGAATCATTTTTTTAACAGTTTCTTTATGAAACATTTTTCTCATTTAAAAACTGTGATCTACATGTCCTCAAATTCATTTAGTTAGTTTTAAGTTACAAATGATAAAATATCGTTGTTGTTGTTGTTTTTTTTTTAAACGTAATTATTTTGAAATTATTGTTTTACAAAAAATACAATCAAAATTTCAAATCTCTGTTAAAACATAAGAAAAATAAATTTTTTCTCAATATTGGATTGAATAGACATAAAAAATGAGAATGATTGGAAAAAAAAAAAAAGATATGCTCAAAATCTACACTTTAAGGTATCAACTTTTCTTATATTCTATATAAAATTAAACTTTACCATATAAATCATATCTTTAGTATTTATCGCAATATTACATATTTTCACTATAATTTTATTTCGTGGCGGTAACATTCCGAAAATTAACAAAAAATTAAATGAAGGAGGTGTCTATGCAATTCACTTTTACCAAGTGGAGAGCAATTTTGGTAAATATCGATATACGTACGGTTGCCAAGTGCAAATAATTTTGCATGGAAAAAAAGTGGTTTTTAATTATGTATGACTTTCTCATGATGAACA